TAGGAGGTGCTATTTCTTTAAGAAGGAGGTGATGCTGGGAAGAGTGGAGTGTTGACGAAAGAAAGGAAGACCCTTGACCAATTGGATTGATACAGTGACTGCTGCAATGGGCTCTAGTGTGTCTTAAAGTATGAAGATGGCACAGAATAGGACAATGTTCAGATATTTTATTCATAGGGTCAGTATGAGTGAGTTGTACTCAACCTGACAAGACCTAACAACAACATAGATTACAATGGTTCCATCTCCAACTTACTATGGGAATGTAACAGGATCAGTTAACATTCTGTTCACGTGAGTTTTGGAAAGCTGTGAATCTAAGATCAAATCAGCAATCTTGCAAGTGACTGCAAAGATGAAGCTCTGAATTGGATGCACCTTAGTCCTCAGACTGGCATCACTGTTAGTCCTTAATAATTTCGAGAGGTCCCTAACTGCAGACTTTACCAGTGCAATGTTATTTCTTTATGTCCTGATGCTTGTACATTGTATCTCATTCTTATACATTGTGTTTCACACATTCCTTCATATACATTGTTTTTCATAGGATCATTCCCATACATTTGGTCTTACAATTTGTTTGTGTGTGTTTCACACTATTCTTCATTCACATTGTGTCTCATACAATCATTCCCATGCATTATGTTTTGTAAAATCAGTCACCATTTGACATTGCCCATCATTACTCACTCTTTTCAGACCTACTGGATCCTTTCCATTTCCTTCACCCCCTCCCTCCACCCATCAATCTATGAAACCCTGTGGTTTTGTCCCTACCCATCCTCACCCTTCTGCTCCCACATCTTCACCTTTTGGGTCCTCGTACATATTTTACTAGTTATCCTCCTGTTTTTACAATAATAGTCTTTTGTAATATTTTTCCTTATGATACTGAGTTAGTTCACTCAGTATAATGTTCTCCACTCCCTTCTAGGTTGTATAGTATTTTTTTTAACCATTGCTCCTGAGTGCTGCATTGTATTCCATTGTGTGAATGTACCACAACTTCTCAATCCATTCCGTTGTACTTGGACATTTGGGCTGTTTTCATTATCTTGTGATGGTGAGTAATGTTGCTATGAACATTGGTGTACAGATATCTGTTTGTGTCTCAGTTCTAATTTCCTTGGGGTATATTCCTAGTAGTGGAATAGCTGGGTTATATAGAGTTTCTAAGTTCCACTTTTTGATGAAATGCCAAACTATCTTCCAGAGTGGTCATACCATTTTGTACTCCCACCAACAGTATATGAAAATTCCCACCTCTCTCCAACCTCTCCAACATTTATTACTTGCTTCCCTGCTAAACTTTGCCACTGCTACTGAGATAATATGATATCTCATTGTGGTTTTGATTTGCATCTCTCTTATTGCCAATAATATTGAGCATTTCTTCACGTGTCTGTTGCCATCCACAGAAGAAGAAAGTCACTGTCTTGCAATTTTTTAATACTTGACTGTGGATATTTATAGCAGGTTATTCATAATGTCCAGAAAATGGTAAGTACCCAGGCATCCATAAAATGTAGAAACATTTGAACAAATAGAGGGAAATGAATGTGAAGGAATCCAGTCCAGTGTGCAGGGAATCAGTTCTAATGCATCAGTTCTGGCCCCGGTGTTTCATGGCAGAGTGCTGGAAGCAGAAGGTAGCATCACAGCCCTGTGGGGAGGATCTCTTCTGTCCTGTAAGGATGCTGTGAATAGGATCCAACTTCAAAGCAATGGATCTCTGGATAGTCATGACTATATTTAACTTTTATCTTTAAAAACTAGAGAGTTGTAGATTACAAATTTTTAAAGGAACTATTATAATCTATAGTTTTCTAGATTTCCATGTCTTTTCCCCACTCGTGTTGCTTTGGAAAGTCTGCTGAAAGCTGTTCAGCATTGTAGCAACATGCAGCCTCCACTGACAGGTGTATGATGGCTTTATGTGAAAGGCATTAGCCTGAGTCAAACTTGGCTTTCCCACAAGTAAGACTAGAATTCTACCTCCGAATCACTGCTGTCTGCATGGGATACTAGAAAGGTTTTTATAAAAATGTAGTTGACTTCTTGGAGATTTGTAAATCA